GGGTGCCTACATTGACCTGTGGTGAGTGAAGGGAGTAGAGCCATTCCATAAATAGGGGGGCTCTGGCGGTCAACATTTTGGGACAGGGCAGGACTGGCAAGTACAAGGGGAAGCAGTCACTTCAGTCAGTTGTTCCCTTCCTGAACAGGATTAATGGAGTAAGCTAGGCCTGGGTCATGTGACCTGGCTGAGACCCAACAAGTTATCCGAAACCAAGTTCCTATAGTGGTGGCACACACTAACCACACTAACCCAGTGAAGCCTCAGAAGTTTGACTGATCCAGAGGGAGGCGGCTCAAAGTAACACAGTGCAGGCCACAGCAGCTTGACTCATCCAGAGGGGAAGGGCCAGCATACGCTGTCCCCATCTGTAACTCACTAGCACACGGCAGTGTGAAGGGTAATCTAGCCAGTGTGCTTTAGAAGAATTGTAACCAACAAAGAAAGAAACTGGGGCCTCCTGGAAGAAGCAAAAAAGATGAGAAGAGGAAGCAACAACAAAAAGTCCCCAGGTCTCAACCCTGAGAATATTGACCCAGGACAGGTAAATACAAAGGAGAATGAGAACAGCAAACATGCAATATCAGACACAGCGCCAGTGGACATAAAGAGATATCTTCAGGACCTCATAGATGAGTTCAAACATGAAATATTTAGCCAAGTAAAACAAGATATAAGAAGATTAATAAAAGAGATACTAAACACTCCTCAAGCAGACACAGACAGAAGAAGGGAGGAACTCAGACAAAGGAGAGAATAATTTGATGAAGAATATAAAAAAATATAGAATACATGAAACAGATTCAAAGGGATCACCAGGAAAATAAGAACTCTATGGAAAGATGCCAAATCAGCTTGAAAGAAACTAAGAATAGACTATCCAAACTGGAGGACAATTTTGCAATGTGAGAGTATAAAAGGAAAAACTTTTTAAAAATAACAAGGAAACAAGCAGTAACAATACAAAGGCTAGAAGATAACAAAAGGATCTATAACTTGAGAATAAAGAATGTGACTGAAGAAGCTGAGGTACAAACAAAGGAACAACAAAGGTTATTCACAGAAATAATTAAGGAAAACTTCCCAAACATAGGAAAAGGAAATGATATTCTGATATGTGAGGCATACAGAACTCCAGCCACCTACAACCAAAACAGAGCTACACCCAGGCATATAATAATCAAGATCCCAGAAATTCAATATAAGAACAGAATATTAAAAGCTTTTAGAGACAAGAAACAGATAATCTATAGAGGAAGGTCCATCAGAATAACGGCAGACTTCTCGACACAAACCATCAAGTGAAGAAGAGCCTGGAGCAAAATATTCCAAGCCCTGAAAGAAAATAAACTCCATCACAGATTGATATACCCTGCTAAACTGTCTCTAGAAATTAATGGAGAAACAAGATGCTTCCAAGACAAAGAGGAACTTGGGAAATTTGCAACCACCAATCCAACTCTACAGAGAATACAGCAGGGCATTCTAGAGAGAGAGAAAAATACTAGGATTCCAGGAACAGTGGCAGAGAGACTTCAATGAATGGAGCAGAAAACAGAATGAAGATGATAAGCAGACAACTGATGGCAAAAAAAGAGCATAACAGAAATGAGGCAGAGAAGATTTTATTCAAAATTGATATGATTGAAAGTATCAAGTCTGAGAGTATAGGCAACTACACTGAAGATGACAAGACTCTCCGATACACATGGTGGTTTGAAAACTGCCAGTTTTTGAAGTTTTATACTATATACAAAGCTCTGGTTTTATTAATAGTTATGTACTGATATATTCAATTATACTATGTCTGATGATATAACCAATTCTTTTGGAGATAACAAGAGACAACACAGGAACCATGGTAGAACTCTTTGTACAATAGTCTTATATTGTTTCATGTGTTTATAGGAATACGTTTTGTTTTGCCTTGCTTTGTTTTGTTTCTCCCTCTAATATAGAAAGGATAGAAATACACATTAAGACTCACACATGTATAGAATCAATAAACAGTTTATGAGAACTGATCATATGACACATGATGAAATGAACAGATACCTTGAAGAAAAAGAGACACTAAAATACCCAGTGCTGATCCTGGAGTGTATAATGGGAAACCCAGCAATAGTATTATTCTTTGTTCAGAGTGATTTTAGCCTCCTTGGGTTTATTCAATCTCAACATAATTGAAGATATGGATAACTGCATGTATGTTTAAGTATATAGGATTGATAACCATATTTGTAAGTTTTTGTTGGATAGTTGAACAGAACTGGTTGCAGTCTCACTGTTCGAATCCCCAATTTATAAGCTCCACTTTAGTATCTTGGATAACTATTTGTAAGAAGATAATTTGTAATCATCATCTAGTGATTTCTTACAGTTTATTTTTTTCTTTGAAACTATGTATTATTTCTACCCACTTTCTGTTTCATTTAGTCTTACTTTAAATTAAATTTAGAAAAAGAGACATACATTACCCAGTGCTGATCACGGAGTGTCATGATATGAAATCCAGCAATATTATCATTCTTTGTTCAGAATGATTTTAACCTGCTTTAGTTTGTCTAATCTAACATAAATGAGGATATGGATAACTGCATGTATGTTTAAGTGTATAGGATTCACAACCGTGATACTAAGTTTTTGTTGGACAGTTGGACAGAACTGTTTGCGGTCTTGGTGTTTGAATTCCCACTTTACATGATCCATTTTTGTACCTTGAACAACTATTTGTAAAACGACAATATGTAAATATCAACTAGTGATTTTCTCTGAACATATGCATTATTTCTACCTATTTCTGTTTTGTTTAGTCTTTCTTTAAACAAAGTTTTAAAAAATATGAAACAGAAAAAAAAAAACAAAAACATAGCAGGTGCCTGACTATTGCCAGGATCAGCAATCACCTGCAGTATTTGTATGCTGAGAACTCATTGTCCAACTTTGGGCTTTTCTGCTGGTCAGTAGAGGAGGATGAGGGGTGCTTTTCTCTTTCTGCTGTCTCTTTATGGCTACTCCATCTGCAAGTAATTGAGAATAATTTTGCCTGGGCCAATGAAAAGTAATCATTCAATAATTCACAATGAAGGCTACTGGAAATCATCTTATGCTTCAAAGTGAATGGTTAAAAAATCTATAAAGAACACTGTCTCACAAGACCCAGAAAGGAAGAAAAATATTAAAAGCTTTAAAATAGATAAAGATCTGATTAAACATGTGTATTGATTTTAGTGAATCCTGGAAGGTAACGATTGGGTTGTAATTTGAACTACCCCCCAAAAGTTTTAGAAGTCAGGAATTATCTTGCTACAAAAGACCAAATCTTCTTGAATTTTAACAAAAGAAAGTGGGCTTAAGCATATGAAGAGGTTCTTGAATGTTGAGTTATAAAGCAAGTCATAAAGTCATCCTTAGGAAGTCTTTAAATCAACATTTAAAACCTCCACATGGATCCGTAGATGACAACATCCTTTCCAGCTTTGCTATTTTTATTTGTGAGTTGTGTACAAGTTCTTTCTAGACTAAAAGATATAAAAGGACACTTCTCTGCCAGCACAATGTTTGTGATGACTACTGGGTGCATGGGATCTGTGGAACTCAAATTCTGAAAGTTTCCACCACCATGAGCATCCCTAACGCTTCTCTGATACATGTGTAGGGGTGAGGCAAGATTCCCAACATCATACTTGGTAGATATTTGGTGTTTTTGCAGGCTTGATCTTCCTCTCCCTTTTTCTGAAAATGAGACCTGCTCTGTCCCACTCTTGCTCTGTAAGCTTTGGGTGCAGTTACTTCCAACAAACTTCTAAGACTTATAATTCTAACCCATACCTTGTTCTCTTAGGCGTATTATCCATTGCAGTTTATTCCAGTGTTTTGCAGGAGTGACGGGGGAGGGGGAAGCATTCTCTTGTGGGCCTTTCAGGTCACCTGAGCCTCTTAGCATCCATCCTTCTGCCATCTGGGAATATCCAACCAAAGAATTAACTCCCCAAAGAAGAAAGTGATGCAAAGAGCAACTGATTCCGGTTGATATCATTGTGAGCAGTCATGACTGAAAACTACTTCAGACTCGTTTGTCTGTCATCCAGGCTTTCTTTTGTTTCCCTCTTATATATTTCTCTCAATTTGAAATGGATTTTCATTATTTGTGTTTGATATTTTTAATTCATTGACTATATTTTAAAAGAAATATTAGTACTTTTATAACAATATATTTAAAATACTAGTGTAGCTATAACAGTCTATCAATCAAGTCAGTAGACAACATTAGAACAGACATATTGTCCTCGAATATTTTGAAGGATGTTATTTGAGAAGATGCAGTGAGAACGCTGAGCTGAGGGGCTGAGGCAAACACTAATGTTACTGGAGTTATTCAGATAGGGCACGGTGACAAGAGGCTCCTTTTTACTCCACCACTGAAGTCTGAGTGATTCTAGGTATTTCAAGCTCTGACTCAACAATTTGAGCTGAGGTTTTCTTTGTGACTCTTCATGAGTGCTCTATAATTTGCCCAAAAATCAACTAAGACAGCATTCCAAGAAAAATCAAGCATACTCAATGGAGATAAAGGTGAGGCGGAGGACAGAAATTGGCAAGTTGGGAAACGATCAAATGTTGAACCATTTTTGGAATACTGACATTGATCTCCGAGGTGCTTGATGTCATTTATGGCCAAACTCAACTTCTTCTGGGCCTAAAATTATTGACCCAGGTGCACATGCCAGTTGTACAAGCTCTCACATGCCAAAGTCATGGGCTATACTTTTGAGAATGCCACAGAAATGATAGCAACTATTAAAAACAAGGTAATGCTGTTATTAGTGGTCATTGGAGAGTTTGCTTTATAGGAAGGTAGAATTTGGGATGAATAGATTTAGCCACACTGGATAGATGTCCTGGAAATTCAGTTCAGTTATTGGCTACCAGCTCATTGTGGGTGCTAAAACACGTTGACTGTGAGATTGACCAGTTGTGTCTGAAATAAACTCAAAATATTTGGGTTATGAAAATATGATCATTTATTACTTAAGTGAGTGGTAAGAAATCTGGAATTATTTCCATAATAAGGAAGAATTATGACAGTAAAATATTCAATCATTTCAACTTCTGATGCTAACTATTTAATTGGCTAGTGGCTAGGATTTATAACAGACACAATAAACACTGACTATTTTAAAACATTTGATGAATGGGTTTTGCTAGTAGTATATAAGTAAATGTAAATATTATACAGCATGGTATTAAAAGGGAGGTGAGAGTTTCTCAAGTGCTGTTTCCCATACTCATACCTCATCAATGAAGGTGCTGAGACCCGGTTCCCTGGACTTTCCTGAGGTTGCATAACTAATAGAAGCTCAAGTCATTAGTCAGGGGCAGCTCTCAGCTTTGACTTTTTATTGACATAAAAATCATTAGTATAAAAATTAGAGGTCCTCTTCAACTCAGGCCTACCTTTTCTGTTTATGTTTTGATTGCCCTCTTAATAAGAGAAGACATGTCTCATACAGCCTGTTTTAGTTTGCAAGGGCTGAGTGATGGGCTTAAGCAAAAGTCCATACCTAAGGGGCTACCAGAGTCAGGTTTGGGGGGGGCTCTGTCCTTGAGTTGCAACAGCCACCTTTCTGCCACATCCTCATGTGGCCTTTTCTTTGTTCATGCAGAAAAGAAGACATGTCGAGTGCTTCTTTATCTTCTTACAAGGGCACTGGTCCTATCAGACCCTTACGCTTATGATTCAATTAACTTTGGTTACTCCTTAAATTACTAGTCTCTAAAACAGTCACACTGGAAGTTAGGACTTCTACAAATAACCATGGAGTATGCATTGGGAAGGGGGCCATTCCAGCCAGGGCAATCATGTGTGTACTTCATCACTGCTGTTACGGTTTTATTTATCTAAGTATACTATACTCAGTAGGCTACTGATTACTCTACCTAAGTATTTATTACTCATTAAACTATCACTGTATCTATTTCTTTCTTCATTTTACAAATGAGAAGTCTTGGGCAGAGGGCAGTTTAATAAATGTCTTACAGCCTCGTGGAGTCTGAAGACAAGTTTTGAGTCAGCGCCATCCAGGTCGGGAGTCCATGTGTGTTCACACCCTGATCACACGACCTTCCCTGTCTTCAGTGATGCGGGTCACCCATCAGCTCCTGGTTCAAGTCACTTGCCCCTTCAGCTTGTCACATTCCAATGGGAGTCAGTTTATTAAACAAAATCTCATTGTGTACATCCACCCACCCACTGGTGGCCCATTCCACTTTAGGAGCAACAGGAGAGCAAGGTTCCCACTCCCTCGTGGCACACAGAAAGCCTTGCCCTTGGTCCACGAGGCTGCGTCTGCCTCCCTCCCCAGCCACACCCGAGTCCCGTCAGGTTAGCAGCCCCGGTGAGCCTGTGCCACTCTCTCTGATCCCCAAGCGTGAATTCCACGTCCCCGCTCTCACTGCTGCAGCAGCCCCGGGTTTGCGGCACAGCGTCTCACGGCTCGTTTACATGCTACCCATCAGCTTTGCCCAGGAGGCAGAATTTTCCTGGAAGGAGAACATTGTGTGTACGCATGTTATTTCTGGCTGCCCGGTTCCTAAACCAAGCTGGAGTATACTTGACACCCAGTATTTGTTGAATGAACGGCCACTCAAGTGTTATGGTCTCTGTCCAATGCTTTTTGTAGCTAACCTGAGGAAAGTGAGTTGGAATTCACTTTTGTTGATATCTTTCTATTAGCCGTAAGTGGGACTAGATGGCATCTATTTTGAGTCCCTGAGGGGAATGTAGATCACTCCTTCTTGGCATGTAGTTAGGTACCACTGAATAAACAGGACTCTGGAAAAGAATTTGCACATTAAAAAAATAAGAACAGTTGTATTGTTACTCTAAAAGTATCCAGCTTGTTTAATATTCATATTGACTTTGAAATATTTTTGGTTAATTACGTCATACTATAATTTAGTTTCTGGAATACACATACTACAAGTTTAAAACCTAGTTTCATCACAGAAATAATAATATTTCATTGTAGGTCACATTCAGGCACAGAAAACTGAAATTTGTATCTGGGGCATGAGTGATCTCACCTTCTCAGTGGATTTTACCTACAGATGGGAATAGTTATAGGTGAACCATTATTCACAGTTTTCAAGGGATCCTTACCCATGTTTTACTTGATTTTCATAAAAATTATGTGAAAAGGGTCTGTGCAGGTAGTGTTTTCTTTCATTCCTCCAGTAAGGAACCTAACACCAGGAAGTGTGCAGATGTTACGGTTACGGCTGGAATCTAATAGTCAGATCTTGTTATTTCCTGTAGCCAAAGCTGCCATCAGTGATGTACACGAATTGTGAAGCAAATCATGACCTCTTCCTTGCTTTAGGCACACATTAGGCAGACATAGATTAATTCACATTCAGAAAATGTGTGACTTCAGAAGTATCAAAAAGTAACTAAATTATTAATGATTTGAAACAAAGTAATTCCCTTGTTGAGAAAAGAGACACTTAAGGATCATTTTTAATTAGTCACTGACTGCTTTGCCATCACTTAAAGAGAATGACATGTTGGTCAATCATGCCTTTACACCTTCGTTTATTCATTCATCAAACTTTGGTACAATGAGTAGCTTTTTCATGGGAAGAAGATGTTCCTGCTTTGAACATTTCCTTATCTGCTAACACACTAATGTGCTACAATACAGCATGCATAGTCCATGAGGCAAAATAAAGATGAGTGGTCTATATAATTTGCATAGAAGGACAGCCTTGGTTCATGTGATTGATTCAAATGAATTCTAAGGAAAGGCCTCTGAGACACAGATCACAGTGAGATGCATAGTGAGTTAAAATGCTAGGCATCAACTCTCTTCCTTGCTTATTTACATTACCATTTGCCTAAGTGACCCCCCTCTTCCACTCGAATGGCTGGATGACAGTAATGATAGCAGCCTTAACAAGTCTCCTGGTGCCTAGCACCAATGAAGGCAAATGTGGAGAAAGGATTGTTAGGTAAATCCTTACCTTAGGATTGCAATGGCTCCTGCAATGCAAATCCACATGGCCATGTGGACTGCTAACAGCCACCCAGAACTACTACAACAAGCTCCTGGGTGTCACTTCAGTTTTTCACAGAGCAGCTCCATGGGACAGCGTGATCATGGGACAGGAGAGATGTCAACCTATCCACTTTTTCTACCAAGAAGTAAACTTTGCTGAAAATTGTTGAGGCGGCTTGTGAAAAGCCACAAATCAGCTGTGGTTCAGTCTGTCTCAAAATCCAGGGCTCTTCATCTTGGAGTCCCACGACTTTGCTTCTAGAACACGCATGCTGCCACGTGGAGGTGAGTACAGCCAACCACAAGGCAAGCCTCTCGCTTTCTGCGGAGAACAGAAATGATGGCACACCCTCCAGGTGAGACGGGCTACCAAACCAGAGCAGAGAAGGCGGCTCAGTAAACACGAATGTGAGGCTGTTAATGTTTGCCAGCAATGTCATTTCTCCTGTAAAGTGAAATGCTTTGCCTTTGATAAAGCAGTCAAGGGTTAGACCATTTTTCTAGAGTACTTGTTGAGACAATCAGAATAGCAGCCCAGAAGCTTTTCATTCTTCAATCCTAAATCATTCAAATAAATGCTTTGATGTTTTGCAGCTGTGTGAAGACCCAGCCTGATGGATGCTTGAAGCAGACTCATTCTGGTTATACTTCTTGTCTTTTTATCAAAATCAGAGTTTTGGGTTCCTACTTTGGGTTCCAAACAGCCTCTTTTGTCTTATTTTCAGAATTATACATGTGGAAAGTGTTGGCCTGGTTTCCTCGAAGCTTCTCAGAAACTTTACCTTGGAGTACAACAGTTCTCCACAATTCTTAAAACCGACTTTCTGCTGAATTGCCTTAAAACATCCTACAAGAACGTGGCATAGTCCTCATTGAGTCTGGATCGTTATGCCTGAATTTGATTGCTAGTCACAATGCTTGGGAAGCATTTTAAAAGGTAGGTTAAGGGGTGGCTACTACCAGATAGTCCTGCTCAATAATGTATGTGAATTTTATCACTACTGTCTGGGGAGGTGTAAGCTCTTCCAGTTTGTTCATGCTGTAAAGCTCTCACAAAAGGAAAATAATTTTTCATTATTTTATTTGATGGAAACAACTTCCTTTCTCCTCTCCTCACCTCTGCTTTTATTCTTTTAAAATGTCTATTTTTAAATTAACAACTAACGGCAAAAGTTTTACATACATATTCCGGACATGTTCCCAGTGGCCTTCGGAGATGAGCAAGATGAGGGTGTGAGACAGAAAAGGAAGCAGAAGCTCAGAGAAGAGGCTCAGTACCACAGTGTCTCACAATTACAGCTGGCTAAGCCGAGATTTAAGGTCAAGGCCACGCCCGTGCTATTTCAAAGCCTTATTCTTTTTGCTCTATTAAGTTGCTTCGAATATGAAGAAATCACGAAATTCTTTTTTTAAAAAAAAACAAGATTGCTATTAGCATTTTTTTCTCTGTGTAACTTTTCTGACAAATCATGCACAATTTAACCCGGTCCTCTTAGCGGCAGGTTTTTCAAATATTTCAAAATTGTTTCATGGTTATTATTACCTCATTTTAATTGATTTGCTCCTAAATTCATAGAAGTTGGGTAATTCTTAATCATTCACTTTTAAAAACCAGCACATGTGATGAACTTCACTCCAGTCAGCTGGCTCTGGCTGCATGCTCCAGGGTAGTTTCCGGTCAGCTCTGTGTGCTTCTCATTCTGCATGGCCAGAGCGTGTTCTTCTCATGTGAATGCAGAAGCACAGGTGGACACATTACTCCTACAAGCACACCAAGCATCCCTGACAGTTACAGCCTATAGATTTCCACTGGCTGGCGCAAGCCACACTGCAAATCCAGCTGATGATTTCAGGGTCCACACTCACTCTCTTGGAAAGAGCAACAGATATGTGGTGTCCCACAGGCCTTGGAGGAACTGGTGCTTGGAAGTGCCAGTTGTGTACAAAATGTGCTCATAGTGTGAGGGTAACTTCGTATATACTTTTAGAAACAGTAGTAAGAATCGAGTTGATGCTGATATTAGACTAGCCTGATAATAATAGAGATTCAGAAAATTAGACAGATTCAAGAGCTGTTTATAAAGTATATCAGTTGGTGTTCTGGCCCAAACAGATGGCCTTGATATACAGTAAGGAAGGATAATTGACTGAGTTAATGAAAAGAAATTTATAGCAGTGGAGGAGGTGAAAGGGACTCAACAGGGGATAATGAAGCACTAAAAACAAACATGAATAGTTATGAACCCTCTGTGTGTTTAACCAACACCCACTGATGTTACATTCATGGAAGAGGATCAACCACTACCAAAAGTCCAAGAAGAGCTGAGCATCAAGGCACTTCCTCTTCTGTGGATATAGACATGAGTGGGTGCACTGCTGGAAATCCTACCTCTTAGCTTCCAAGGCTGGTCCGTTAACTTTTGGCTGATGGAGACATACTGTGATGATCTCTCTGTAGGTCAGCCTTATACTTTTCTTCCTCTTGGAACCACTTATATAAGAGGTAGATAATCCATAGGAAGAGATTGCCTAGGAATCTGAACAAACACATAGCAACAAGTCCAAGATGAGAGTCCGTAATGAAAAATTTATTTGTGCCCCTTGTATTTGCTTAGATCCAGTCTCCCATCATTTGTAATGAAATGTTCTCTGCATATTCAAAATCACATTTTAGGATGTAGTAGATCATATAGAGCCAGTATGTACAGCTTGGGTCACATAATGACCATTATCCTCTGATCAGATACTCAGTGTCTACCATAGCCTGAGAGAAAAACAAGGTGTACTTTTTGAATGTAAAATATTGTCATCAGGAGTAGCTGTGGACTTTCTCAACACCCTTAGATCTAGATACAATTTTCCTATTGGAGCTTTCTAGAGGCTTTAAAAAACATCTCTCTCCCTGCCATCCCTCAGTGTCACAGAGAGAGCTAGAAAATAAGGTCAAAGACAATTTTGATGATGTCTTGGTCTCTAGTGACTCTTATTTGTTCACATTCTTTTCAAAGCTGGGCTGTAGTGGCCGCAAAATCCAACATGATACATATTGCATCCAAATTGAGAGACCTATTACAGGCTTGCTAAGCTAATTGGTGTCTTAATTTGAAGAACACTTCGCTGTATTCCCAGAAGTCTGTGTGTCAATATGCAGATATCTGAACACCTATAACAATGACCCCTGTGTTGCCAATCAGATTTCTTGTAAACACTTCCACACAAGTCCACTTAGCATGAAGCTACCAAGATAACAGACTAGCAAGAGATTCTGTAGGATATCTGAATAATCAAGTTTCCTCAAGACTATATTGTTTCACAGAGCAGGAGGTTTGGTATAACCCAGTGATCAAAAGGTACAGGTTTACGGCTTCCCTGAAGAGAAGGTACACTGTGTCTGATTATCTTTATTGATGGGTATTACAAAGAGTGTTTACTCAGTCTATGGTGCATGGTGCAGATGCGCAGCCAGAGGCTATGTTGATTTATTCCAATGAAGGAAGCACATCTGGTACAGCATCTGTGATTGTTATCACTGCTGATTAAATTTGTGATAATCCAAGTCATTCTTTAAAATTCATCTGGCTTTTCTTCCAGCTGAACGAGCAAGTTAAATGAAGGTGTGATAGAAATCCCCACCTTGGCGCTGAGAAGTCTTCTTGGAGTCAGGAAACTGCTACTCTCCCAGACAATTTGATTCCAGACAAACTTATTTTGGAGCTGAGGACATTTCCAGGAACTTTGACCTGAGAACTTCTTTTCATAACAGCTTTACTTTACCTGTAGGAAGACCCATGTGAAGATTCTGACAGGTGTTAAGTGGATTTATAGTCTGCAGGACTTTGGAAATAGTCCTCAGATAAGTCGTGGTCTATTTGGATCCACTGTGAAATAAATTCGTGCCCTGAACCCACTGTTCACCTACTTCTTTAAGGAGCTTCCTTTTTGTCCAGCAAACTGAAAGGATATTTTGTATCATTCTAGCAGTGCTATTATATAATAACATCTAGATAAAGTAGATATTGTGCATTCTTCAATGTGCAATGATTCTGTTAATAAGTCTCAAGTCCTCAGGAAAGCTTGGAAGAATGATCATACTCTTCCCTGTTACTGAGTAGTAAGATTTTCCTGGAATATCTGTTGAAGTTATGGAGTTGAACATACTTTTTCCTAGCTATGGAACTTCAAGGAAAGACTAGTTTGGAGCACAAATTAGTAGACTCAGAGACATCCAGATTGTTATCTGTGATCTGGTGAATTTAAGATTCTTTAAGATACATAAAGGGAAATTCCTGATAAATACTTGGTTGTAAAAGCTAAGCCAAAAATCTCAAAGGAGGTGGCATCAACAGTTAGATGATAATGGAAGCACTCCGTCTGGATAAGCACTTGGTGGAAATTCAACATGAAAATTCATGCAGAAATAAGGAGCCAGAAAATGAGTTTAAGGAAGCTATCTAGAGTCACGCAAGAAAACCTAGGAAAATGGAATAAAACAGAGAGGTTAGGAAGCCAGTGTTTGGGAGGGAGGAAGCAGACATTTGCATCAAATGCTGCTAGAAACTCAGGAAAAAATGAGAGCTAAAATAAAACGTCTCTTTGACTTGGTGACATGGAGATAACACATGACCTCTGCAAGATTTTTCAGGGAGCACTGAGGGCAGCAGCCAGACTGGGCATTTCCCTAGTGCGCCAAAACATTGCTTGTACCAAACATTTTTCTTCCCCAAACCAAGCAACAGCATTTTGGAACCTACTTTACGTGCGTTTGATTTGTATTCCTCTGCTATCACATTTACACGGTATTTACTCCTGTGGTGATTTGCCATTGCCTAGTATTGGATAATCCTTGTAAAGCCTCGCCAATGTATATCAGACTCATAGCTCATCAGTACATTTCCAACCCCTCTACAGAAGGGTGAAGCTTCTTGAGTTATTTGTTTGTCTTGTATGCTTTGTGATGATAGAACAGAAGTGGCAAGATAATTGTGAAATCTTTAGAATGCTAAAAAGGATGCTTCGTCATCATCATAGAATCATCTATCACAAAGAAAAATCAGCCTGGAATTTTTCACACCACACATCACAGTCTTTAATTTCTTACTCTAAGTAGAGCCAAAAATGTGAAATTTGCATATTTTGTAATGTTTAACTTTCTTCTGCACATGTTTTACTTCTGAAATAGTCACATGTGAGCACTTAATCTCTTTCATTCTGTGAATCTGTGCCACTGTGTGTCTCTAAATTGGCTGGCTTTTTACATTGTCGCTCATAGTTGAATTATATTTAGGCATAGAATCAATGTATTAAGCTCCTTTGGGAATACTATCATTCCCAAAAGACTGGAAAATTACAGTAAATCTGGAGTTGTGTGGCAAGTGGATTAAAGAGAAGATAGGACTCTAGATTAATACCTAAGTAAGAAGAGTTTGGTTAAGTATTAAAGAAAGGTTGAACTGTCATAATTTTGTGGTCAAGTCGAACCTAAAACAGCACCAATGTAAGAAAATTTGATATTGATGGACAGCACCAGTAATCGATGAAAATTGTCTTCTATATAATGATTCTCCAAAAAATGAAATAAAGAGATTCATTTCTATCTGTTCAGTCACATGTTGGGATACAAATCACTTTCTTTTAGTTTCCGTATCTCTCATTCATCACAGAAGTGACACCGTTTTTCTGCAAGCCTGATTTTTTTACACACAGTATTAATTTCTCTTGACTTGCACATTTTGACTCCTAGAATGTTGATTAGTGATTAAGGCAAAATGAGGAGAGGCAAATGAATCCATCAAGTTATTGACGTCTGTTTAGATGGAACTCTTCATTTTAAGAGGGAAATAGAAGCATGGTTTTCATGTGGAACACAGAAGTCTAAAGAAGACTCATCTATCAGACACAGAAATGATAATGAATTATAAATTGAGTGGAATGCCATCATTCCGTTGAGCAGCGGTGATCTAATACTTGGCTACATTTATTAGATCTAATATGCAGACTATACAAGACATATGAGAGACTCATTGGACTGTGCTTTCTACAGTGTTTAACACTCTAGTCTCTAAATACGGAAGCAAATGAGGAGTAGCTACTTGAGGATAAAGGCAATAATGACACAAATGGTCATTGCTAATACACATTATGCTAATTGCTCTGTATCCAGGGTCTCATTTGATTCTTGTGCTGGGAGGTGGATCTTAGCATCCTTCCTCAAAAGGATCATCTGACCTTCAGGAGAAGGGCCAATCACAGCCATGCAAATGCTGACTTGTCTACAGCTCTGACCTTGCTGGAAGGCTCCTCTAGGAGTTGTTGGACCACAACTGTTACAGAGAGGAAAAAGCAAATTCTCCATAACAATGATGATAATCCTGTCAGTTTACATACAATGGTAAAAAAAAATTTTGTTTTTGAAAGCAACAGTCAATTTTTACTTCTAGTGAAATGGATTCACATATACTTTATTTTTAAAATTAGAACATTTTAAATATTTTTCAAAGTGTTTATATAACTACTTTTCCAAAATTAAAACATCTGTATGATTTTATCTAAAAAGATCTTTTTAAATCAAAATGCCCTTTGAAAACATAATAATTAAGACTAAAAGAGAACACTCAAGTCAGACTCAGAAGCAGCAACATAAATATTGACATAGACAAACAGCGTGTAATTCGGTCAGCTGCCTGAAATTCTTTTTCAAGGTGAACATAGATGTGTCAAATCAAGAAAACCAAACAAAACACAAGAGGGCAGCTTTATGGGAAAAATACAATTATCTATCATAGTAAATGACTTATTATTAAGGAAAAAAGAAAAAAAAATCTTTGAAAAATGAAGTGTTAGAACTGTCCCCATTATGAGACAGGGACATAGAAACAGGACAGTAATTTGACAGTGGAGAGTTGCAAGTATGCTTTATAGTTTATTTTAATATTTTTGAAATAATTTGAATATGTGTGAACTTTTCAGAAATAAGTCATTCAGTCAATTGAATTTTTATGTCACAATTGTTTTATGAAAAACAATTCAGTCCTCATGGTCCTTCTGAGCAGCAAACACTTGAAAACATGCAATCGCATTCAGAGCATTAGTATCACTAATAGTGCTAGAGTAGACTAGTCAGTCTTTCAGGGGTTGAATACTAAGCTAGCTGTGACATAGCATCGTGCCTGTGTTCAGAGCAGACCCTGTACAGTGGTTGCTGTTCTTACTGAGGCTTGGATGATGAGAACTTTGCTCATCAACAGACAGCTAACATGAACTTGAAATAAAATACCAACCCAGGACACATGCAGAGCTCAGCCTTTAGCTATTGCTATTCTGTCTCCTTCAAAGCACTGGGAAATTTACAAGTGTAATTATTAAATGGAAATAATATCTAACAGTATTTCAGGAAGAACAAACCACACACACATGCACAAAAGCAAAAGTAAAATGTTCAAAACATGCAGCAAGCAATTCTATTTCACGGCTTTAGCAAAATCTGGATTAGAGGTTAAAAATGAATTTGTCTTTACAGTTATCATAGTAAGGAGTAGTGAAAATATTTAATTTTTGCTGACACCAATGTGCTTAAATAAGAACAAATGCTTTTTATGTACTCCCTTTACAATATGTTGCCTTATCTTAATTTGGACTGTTAAATACTTTATTGATTCCTTTCAATTCAAAATAAAATTAGAGATTACAAAAATTTTTCTAAAATTAACCTTAAAAGCCAGTCTTGTTTTCAGCATTATAAATTATATTCCAAATACCTCATGCTATATTTTCTTAACAGCATTAAACAAACTAGCCACTGGCTAAACTTTACTATTAATATTCTGAGATTTGGCTTGGCAGATGTTTTGTGTAAAATTCAAACAATGAGAATATATTATTAGTCTAGAAATAGGAGCATGGTGTATTTATTTTATCAAGATGAATTTTACAAAATTGGGATGGAGCCCATATAGAAAAGGGTGAAAATTCTCTTCCTGGAGACAGAGATTGGCTATCTGACTTTTTTGAGATTTCAGTCTGTAAGCTCGTGATGATAATACTAGTAATGGCCTCCACTGAGCCATTGTGAGAAAGAAATAAGAGGAGGCATTTCAGGGCATGTAATAAGGCCTCAGTAATTTTTGCTAGGAGACTGTTGGAGAACAGGAGAAAGGAGACAGTGAGATCTATTGAGTTCCCAGGGGTGCTGTGGTCAGAAAAGATAGAATGCCATAAATATGGTACACAGATCATTTTGTGCCAAATATTCATTCCTGAATAAGCAACAAATGGTCCAATGTTTTAAGTTCATTGGAAGATCTATTTTACAGGTAATTATATGATTTCTGGGTAGTACTTAAAAGTGAATTATAGGATGCTTGTCCCATGTTCTCAGAGAGCTAATGGGTTTCTTTTTACTGTCCTCTAAATCCACCTAGAAATTGCCTGGCATATCCTATAATTCCAAGGCAAATAAGACCACAAAATGGAGAACACTATATTTGTTCCCTGGTGACACACAATGATTAGTCATCATCCCATGAAACAGCACCTGAAATTTGACACAAACAGTGGCCTTTTGGTAAGCTCAAAGAGAAATGCACTAATTTCCCATCTTACTTGATATTATTTCAGTTTTCATGATCTTCTCCAATAGAATTTGCACAAAGGTATCAAACTAGCACTTACATTATATGAAGCAAGACTGAAATAAGTTTTTAGCTTGGCTCTAGATAATCACAGAATCTCACAGTGTGCAAAAAACCCAGAGAGATCTTGTAGTTTATCTTCTGCCACAGGCAAATCCACTTCCAGTAACCCTTAGCTGATTGATAGATCCCTATAGTTTTTCTCTCAGACTTTTCTCGCAGCTTATTAGGATCTTCCTGTTACTTCTGTGTTGTGACTGTCTCGATAGTTCAAGTGACCTAATTTACATTAGTGATCTTTAAATCGAGTCAACTAGCTCCTGAAATCAGAGATCATGGGACTTTCTGACTTGAGCATCCAAAACCCTGTTCTACTGGCTAGTTTGTGTCATAGTTTTTTATTATTCTTGCACATTGTATATGATTTAGCTTTCATTGAGATTGCTTTTAACTAAAAGTATGATTCCCTTGCCACTATATGCTCATGTTTAATTTGGTAGATGATTTCCTGGTAGTTAACTGATCAAGACAATAATATGTGATATGAAATCATTAATAACAAATGTCTCAAAGTAGGAAACTATGGTGGTGTGTTATCAGATTAGTTCCCAAAGATTCCTTTAAAAATGCTTCTTGTTGTTGTCATAATGACTGTTTGGCATACACAATTACAATTTATTTATTCTAAGATCTTTTTTAAGGAAGAAAGCTTTATTTTAGCTCACAGTTTGTAGAGATTTCAGTCCATAGTTGGCTGGCTCCAAGGTAGCAGGGTGCTGCACAGGAAAACCAGCTTTGCCAGGCAGCAGGCAAAGCAGCAAGTGACAACTGGCAGCAGAGACATTCTAAGATTGTTGAGAGAGTTTACAACATAGCTGCACAAAGTGATTAACACAACACAACAGTCACTCAAAGAATAGCAACTATTATTTTGATTAAAGACATTAAGTGACAAATCTTTGCATGAAATTTATCTCCCTTACCTAAACTCTATAAAACAAAGTCCA